TGTGCCTGCGACCCGTGCCTGGTAGACGCACCCAGCCCCTCGGGCTCCTGCAGGGGGCGCGCCAGGGCGCGCGTGCGCATTCGGCCGCCTCTGCGGTGCACGGCCACCCCCACCCAACCCGGCCCGCCCGAAACCGCGCCTTGCGCAGTGCCCCGCGTAAGTCGCCGACGTCCCACAGGGGGCGCGCTGTTTGCGCCTGCGTAGTCGGCCACCCCTGCGGGTACACGGCTCGCTCTGGCCACCGGCCAGGCCGCGCTTGCGCAGTGCCCCGCGCCGCGTCCGGCGAGGGGTGCGCGGAGAGGTTCCCGGTGAGAGGGCGGCCCGGCTCGTGACGCCCAGGGCCGCAGAGCGAGGGAGGGAGCGGCGGACTCTGGCAGGGTTCGCTTTATCCGCATGCATTTCAAAGCAGTTGAAGTAGTCACGCCGGGAATGTCGACTCCGTTGGCCATTTTCTGTTTCTCCTTGGGTCCCTTGCTGCGCCTCGCGGATGCTCGTCCCTCCTGCACCGTTTCTGGCCAGGCCCCTACGCCGAGCCCGGCGAGGCGCTGGGGCTACGACCAAGGGCGAGGAACTTTCTGCACATAGGCCTTCGGGCTGGCACCTTGAGTTTAGCGGAGTTGCACTTCAGTTCTCAGAGGCCTCGCGGAAAGGGGTCGTGTCAGGCACGAGAGTCCCCTGGTGCGAGTCACCTCAGAGAGAAGGGTCCCGGGCGGGGCGAGGTCACCTCAGGGAGAAGGGTCCCAGGGCGGGGCGGGGTCACTTCAGGGAGGAGGGTCTCGGGGCGGGGTCACCTCTGGGAGAAGAGGTCGGGGCGGGAGCGTCGGGCGCAGGCGCAGCCGTGGCGCGGGGCCAACAGTCGCCGCGGGTCCGGTATATTGGGAGTCTGAGCTCCGCTGGCGGCTGGAGCACGGTGAGCGCGTCCGCGGTCCCAGCGACCCGCGGTGAGGGAGGCGTCCGCCAGCCCCGGCGTCCCTGGCGCTCGCTAGTGGCTGGGCCCGGAGCCCGGGGCCCACACCTCGGGCGCCGCCGGCGACCACCACCTGCAGCCCCGGGCCCAGCCGGCGGAACTGTAACGTAATTACCCGGGCAGCGGGCTGGACGGTCTTGCCGCTCTGGCCCTTATGGAGTAGGGATTAGCGCTCGTTGCACCAATTCATTGTCTTTCTAGCGCCCTTTCCTCTCGGAAGTTGGGTTGTGCTCCTGTTAACCCAGGAGGTAGGCTCCGTGAGAATAGGGACTGCCTGGTTTAGAGCTGTGTCCAGGGTCCTGTAGTGCCTGGCACGGAGGCTCTTGTTAAATGTTTGTTGAATGAAGAAATCACAAAGGCCTGGCTTCACATCTTGGCCCGGCCCCTTAGCTGATGTAGACATGTCACTTTACTTTTCTGAACCTCAATTTCCTATTTCTAAAATTGAAATTATAATAATGGTAATAATAACAAACCGAAAGATTTTTATTGTTTTATCTTTTTTTTTTTTGAGGGTCAAATTGGAAAGTGTATGTCTAAGTGTTTATGATAATGCCTGGCACATATATGGCAAAGAAAGGATAGTTCAGTGTGAATGTGGCTGGAGACTTACACTGCTTAGTTTCTGTGATAAACACAGAGGGAAAAAAACCAAAAAATCAATTGAAAGCAGTTACAGGATGTGTGGAGGAGTGGGTTATTAATGTGCTGCAAACATCTTAAAAACCCTTTCTTGCCATTATTCCTCACAGACTGCACCCTGCCCCCCTCAACCGAAAGGTCTTCCCCCGTTCTCTACTTCCTGCCAGAAAAGTATGTAAAGTATATGGAAGGC